TTTTTCCGCTTTGAAAACACCGATGCACGCAGTTTCTTCACCTCAGTCGCACTAGCTTCGATCTTGTCTTCCATTTTTCATCATAATCTGGATTAACCAAAATTATCGTGAACTGTGCCTTCAAGTGAAACGAAGTCATGGTGCCGAACGGAGCAAGGCGAAGGAAGCGTGGAAATTATTGGATTTCAAAAAAAAAATAAGAATTTAAAAATGTAGCAAGAAAGTTGTTTGTACGATATGGTCGTCTAGGTGTCTCTCATTTAACCGCGCTATTTGTTTCGTACTGTGAATAGTGAGTGCAGCAATAAAAAGGCCACTAACACTAAAACGGCCACTTTGAGTGTCTGGTTGGCCAAACAGGTTTTGGAGCTATTATTAGGCCCTGTCTAGGCCGTTTTTCAGCCTAACAGCGGCCCATGCGCTATCTCTGAGAACAAAAGGTTGATTTTAGCGGGAAATTCAGAAACAATTTGGTCGTGAACTGTGCCTTTAAGAGAAGCGATTGTGAAAACGTGTGAGTTAAGAATTCCCTGCAAACTTTGGACGCTCTGGGTATCTTTTCAGCCAAAATCATATGAATTGGGAAAGTATGTTCCTTAAAGATGAATCGACTATTTCGTCGTTTTTTAAAGTTTTTTTTGTCCCCTGCATTGCTTTGATTTGATTGTTTTCTTGAGGTACATTGCATTTGTCGTCGTCGTGGTCGTAGATCCAACGTAGTATATCTATGAATTCTGTTTGTTTGCAACAAATTTGATCATTGTTACCTGGAGCTCCATACCGATGCGCCTGGGGCTGCCATTAATTCCTTGTGTGCTAATCCGAGCAAATCTTCACCGAATCCTGAAGAAAAGCATTACGCGATAGTAAACTTGTCTCTCCTGCTCTTGCTTACCTAAAAGTGTTTCCTCGATCTTCTGTGGCAGGTTTTTCAGACTTTCNGAGTACTTCTGAATTTCTTGAGGGGGCGACGTTGACTGCAATATCATATGTTATACTTCGTTCGACTTCATAGGACGCTTGCCAAAGCAGGCGTGCAGTTCCCCGTTGCTTTGTAGTTTCACCGGGTAATTCGCGCTCGCAGGGAGCTCGGCGGTCAGACATGGAGCGGGGTGGAAATGCCTGGTGATAACTGTGAATTCGGCGTTCATCTGACGCCACTGTAAGTTTACTAAGCTCGTCCACTGTCAGCATCACTACCGTCAGCCTTTTTTAGATTGTTCCCTACTGTCAGTTGTTCCTCTAACATCTTCCCTATTTTTGTGCTGCCTTCTCATGATATTCGTCAAACATGATCGTCCGTTTTCGCGCACTCCGCCGTTTGTAGCCCACACAGTCGACAAGGATCTGTTGTAGAATCCCGAGGCATCTAAGGAGTTAGCAGCTATCGGAGCAGCGCCGACTTGGGACCACGTTCTCATCTTTGGGAAGTGGTTAATCAAATGTATCTCTTGTCATTCATCTTTTTAATCTATTGTTATTGTTCGAACGCGCTTCACTTATCAAAGGAGTTGTCAATCTGATGTATCGCGTACCGCACTAACAGAACTCATACCTATTTTACCTTCTTCCCGCCGGAGAGTTGTGTGGAAGCTCGACGGAGGTCGGAGGGTGACCTGTAGGCTTTGTGCGTCAAGGGAACTGCACGGGGCAGCGATCGCAGAAGACTGCGGTGGCAGGAACATTTAAGGATAATCACCGCAGAAAAACGGGACAACTAGTTCTAATAAGTCAGTGTGGTGGAAAGGGCGAGTATGTCAACAAAGTGTAATATCCGTTGTAGCCCCTACCCGCCCAACACCGCCCCTACCTTGCAGCAAGGCCATCGTAGCCAAATGTTGCCTATGAATATGCCGCGAAAAGGCAAACAATTAAAAGTTTCTAATTTTGACTGTTCCCTTACCGTGCTCAAGATCTTCCTGTAAAGATCGGTAATTTTCTGAAATGGAGTAGTTCCTCTCTTTTCATGCCAATGTAGAACTAAATCAAGCAGGTCCACCTGAAATGAAAATGCAAATAATAACAGGTTACAAGCTAAGTGCACACTGTGCTTCTGAATTCGTGCAAAAAGTACTCCATTACCTTCGAAGGGAGAAAGTAATACAGTCAGGTATGTAATAACCTAGGGCAGAGGTGGTGTAGTGCAAGTGGCGCACTATATCACACGCACAGTCAGGGGTTCGAATCCCGGATCGATGCCCGCCTAGGCCAACCAAGCCTTCCATCCCTCCGGGGTCGGTGAATTGGCACCAGACTCGTCTGAGAGGATAAAAGCACTGACTTGTACATCGGCTGGCCACCGCAAGTCACTGTATAGGCCACATACGCACTCATTACGCCACTATGATTCTGAATGGAAGTCGAGCACGGGGGCGCGTCCCTCAGACGGGATTGATTAACGCCAAAACTTTATCTTTATCTTTTATGTAGTAACCTTCATCATCAGCAAAATATCCTCTTATGCCCCCTTTTCGATATTCCATTGGAGCCATTGGATTGTGTCATATGCGGAAAATAATTATGGAAAGGTTGCTACATGCTTTTTTTGAAGACATTTCGTTGCTCAGTAATGAAGTACTTTTACTCGAGTCTCCGAAGCAAATTTTAATTTGAAAATTAATTGATTGTTCAACCTTTACAAAAGGGTGGTCGTCCTCAAGAATCCAGTGCTGAGTGCAGTTCCGTATGGAAATGTCAAGTTTCAGTGCGGGAGGACGTGTTCGTTCGACAATTTCTCCACCACGCTTATTTGTATTTTTACAATTAGCTATTTGTGCAGACAAGATGTCAGCCTGGTAAGAAATCGAACGTATTTTTGTAGTCGGAAATCGGAAATCCAGCATCTCACCCGAATTCGTCCGGCAAAGTGATCCAGCGTCCTGGCATAAACTAAATCACCAAAGCTGACCATAGGCATCCGTTGCAATCCATCATAGCAGAATTGGCGAGCATTCATTGCTGCTTCTGATGTCACGAATTCCTGAAGCATTTAGTGGTCTTTACCGCAAAATCGCCTTTGGGTAAGGGAATCGACATTTTTGGCAGATTGACCTGTAGCGTCGTTCAAACTAGGTGGAATCAAATTCAGGGACAAATCTGGATTTGCCCTTGGGAGTTCGCAAATGTGGTAAGGTCGAATTCAGTTGAGAAGGCCGGTGGCGTGTAGAGATTTTACGGAAATTTCACTTTTAAGTCTCAAAAGGCGATGCCATTCTTTTATAACCAGAATGAGGTTTCATTAATTACCCTTTTTCTCTTGAAGGAAATGTCCCGTAGCCATAAAATGGTTCCCTTACAAATCGGCGCCCGCTCTTATCAGTAGGAACTTGTACAGTGCTGTATTATGGCGGATCAGTTCACCAAAGAGCATTGATTATTTGTTTTTTGTTGTAAATTGAAACGATAGTGCAGGGAATGGCCGACTCACCTCATAAGACGCTTGATTGAAGATCCCTTTGATGTGTAAATCATGCATATATTTAGTGATTCTTTCCATGTCTACGATTCCATTTGATAAGCAATCATAGTACGAATGTGTGAACCCTTCCTGGGAATAGTACGGAGTCTCAATTTTCAGATCCGAAGGGGAGTTTTCTGCAAATTTTTCTATTGAAAAGAGTTAAAGATTCTGAAATAATTCACTGAATCCTCAGTATGATGGTCATTACTAAGGATTTCATGTGTCTCTCTATGAACGGAAATTACCTCATTTCCGTTTACCNTTGTTCTGTCGCAGTTGGTGTACATGGTCCCGATCAAGTTGCCTTTGATGCAGTTCCTCTTCAAATCGTCCTGAATTAGACCTGTTTTCTTCAGAGGCCCATACCATTCTTTCAGACATGCTAAGCGTAAATGATTCTCTGTTGCTAAAGGATAAAGTCTTCGGGCGTTCCATCCATGGGATGCGCCCCCGCATTCGGCTTCCATTCAGAATCGTAGTGATGTATTGAATGCGCTTCTGGTCTATACAATGACTTGCGAGTGGCCAACCGATGTACAAGTTAGTGCTTTCAACCTCCCAGACTAGTCTGGTACCAATTAACTGACCCCGAGAGATGGAAGGCTTGCTTGGTCTAAGCGGATATCGATCCGGAATTCGAGCCCGTGACCATGCGTGTGAAATAGTGCGCCGCTTGCCCCTACACCACCTCCGCTCCTTATGTTGCCGTAATAAAGGAGAAGATTATATTTGTGAGGGCCCCTGTATCTTGTCTTTGGCTTCATATGACTGGATGTGAGTGATGTGAAGAGCAGCCGATTTTAAATCAGTGCCTTTGTACTGTCCGAGCCTTCGGGTCCGTTTGGTTTACAGTCCATGTCGCCCCATATTATTGCAACAACACTGAAACCCTTGACGCTGTCCGAAAATACTCTTTATTTGAGGCATCAGATACTTGGAGGGATGGGAGAGGGGTTGTAACTGATCTCTTCCAGTTCCCGCAACGGCGAAAGTGGTCCCGAAAAGCGTCATTTCAAATATCCTGTCTTTATGACTGTTTGCTTTTCAGTTTTTATTAACAGAACTGTTTTCTGCACTTTTGTGAGGGATTCCGACAGAGGACATTCAGGCAGTTATCGGATCCCTCTGATTTTTCAACGTATCCATGACTACACCTGCAGCGAAAGTGCACACATTGAGGCACTGATTTTGCCCTTTTACGACAAGGACAATGCTTCAAACACCTATATGAGTGCTGTATAGTTGCTTGTTTTGAAAAGCCCTATCACACGTATAGTTCGGCGATCGAATCCATCCCGATACTATCTTGGTTCCAGGTTTGGATGGGTTGGGTGGTACACACAGGAGCACGTACGCATTCAAAACGCCATTGCGATTCTGAGTGAAAGCCGATGACAAGCGCATCCCAAAACGGGATTAATCAACACCAAACGACTTTATCATCATCTTTCACCTAAAAATTTCAGCAGTCACTCTCAAGGTAGGTCTTCTACTGGTTAACAGCATTCAGGAATTTCATTGTGAAGACCTTTGAGTGATAGGACTCTAGAAAGATGAAAGCATCAATTAAAAAAAAAAGTTTGAAACCCACTTCCATGTGCTCCCGGTCCCGTTCCATTGGTAGAGGTAGATGCGCGATCTCGATCCCACATCTGCTTGCTCTTCTTTTCCTTAGCTGGGTTCTGAACATCAACTCACAAAAAATTATAAAAAATGAGCAACGACCTCGACAGACAGGGAGTTCTCAGTCACGACTTTATTTCTGTTCGGGAGAAGAGGATAAGAGTATTGATGTATATTATATCAAGGATAAGCTCGCCATAAGAGCAAGGAGGAGATGAGTGACATAGGGCTTTGCAGCTGGTTTGCGAATAGCAGATCAATTCCATACATGTCAATTAAACATTCCATCCTCATACATCAAATTAATAATACATTAATTCACCCTCGGAGGTTGTTTTGTAAGCTAAGTGTTCATTAGGAGTCCACTATAGTTGCAAATGTATGTGGGGGTCAAAAGCATGGCGCGCTCCGAAAAATTCGTTTAGTTCCAAACAGTTTTTTGTTTCTTCAAAACTACTAGATAGCAAAAGAGTTTTTTGTGATCAAAGATGTCTAAATGATCAGCTATACCTGTTTGAAATGATAATTTGGAATGACGCGGGGAGGGGAGGGGGGACTCAGCATAAATATCAAAAACAATTTCTAAATCGTCTGTACTAAATTCTAATGAATTTCCTTTGGTGGAGCCTGTATGCTCAAATGGGAAAGGTAGGTAGCAGAAGTTCAAACGATAAAAAGATGAAAACGGATCGAAAAAAGAAAAAGTAACGTCTTGAGGTGGAGCTGGATAGAAGCCGTCTGTGGAGGGTTGAGTGTTATGCGCGGCTGCAGTGAAAGTGGGCGCAGTCGGGCGCAAATACCGGGCGGCACGTCGGCAATTATCGGGCGGGCGGACATCGCGCCAGCACCCCGTCCGACGATTGCCAGAACGCCGCCCTGCGATCGTCAGCCACCAGCAAATTGATCGACGGCTGCCTGCTGCTGCTAGACAATAACGTCGATTCGAAAGCTGCAGAATACGAAGTTTTGCTTTGATGACTGGCCTTTCTCGGCGCACCCTACGTCACTTGTGCTATTACAAAGCTGTAGAAATATGGGCAAAATGTTAAATGTGCTAGGGGAATCGAACTTGCGTTTGTGATCAACGCACATCATACTTGTTCGTTGCGCAATCTAGAACGCAACGCTCAGTGGTATATTTACCCCCCTTCTTTTAGCGTTAATCCCGTGACATCGCAGGGCCCGTTGATCTTGTTGTTCGTCGCTGTTTCCTTAGCTCTACAACATTTTCAGTCGTCAGCTCGGCCGCCCCTCTTGAGGTCCCTCTTACTCGTTCATCACCTCCTTTTGGGATTCTTCGTGATCGCTTCATTTGTACTTCGAAAGGGCGTCTCTCATAGGGTTATCATGTGGCCTCAAAGGTATAAGGGTATACTTTAGATAATAAGTTACGCGACCCGAGCTGACCAGGGAAGTGAGGTGACATGCGGCTTCACCTCCTCTGTATCCGTGTGGTTTCTTTCGAAGATTCTTTTGTCCAGGAGCTCCAATGCGCTATTAACTGGTTGCTATTATATCAATAGTTCTCAATGATAGATTTTCAAACCGAAAACCTTGGGATGGATTAATCATATCGTATGTAATCCCTCTCAGGATCTCCACCGGCATGGGTCATTGAAGGGCCATTTGGCTGAAGTGGTTCTGCTGACTGATTTAGATGGGCATATCGCTGAAGGGTGAGGGTTTAATGCGCGAGATAGGTATGATGCAAAGGAAACGTAATTCACAAGCAGATGTTCGAGTCTCCTCTGAAACAGGCAGTCCCATTTATGGTTTGGTATTTTGGCAGTATGAAGCCAATTCCACGAAATTCCCCTTGGAAGAAATCTCCTGGTGCTTGCGCTAGAATTTTACTCAGAAATGACTGAGTGAATTTGAACTTGAGTTCCGGTAAGTTTCAAATTGTGCTTTGAACTAGCAATGTTTCAGGCATGGGTGAAGAGAAAGTGCAGTGGTTGCCTGTTGTTCGAGATCAACTCGTACCACGAATCAAATCACATTTGCTGCCACCGAAGTCGCTGAGCGATGCAGTCGTCTGTCTGGCCGATCTTCATGATCTCTACAAAGTCTTCGAAAGATGCTAAACCAGTATCGGCGATTTTCAACTTCGCACTCAATGACCTTCGACTTGATTTATTTCATTCGCCATTTAGCAGCTCACTTGACAGTTTTTTTTATCCTCAACAACTCATGATAACCTCAGGACTAACTTTGATATTACTCATCCCTACAAGGTAGGTTATAGGATGAATTCTTCTGTATTTCTTCAATGGACTCACTTTTTCGAGATACTACAGATTTTCTGAATACTTCTACTCACTTAAGTTGCGATTGTACTACAAATCACTTACCCCACTAACGTTTCCTCCTATTTCCCATCTTCCATCCACCGTTCTCGGCGACATGCAGTAATGGGAACCCGGCGTCTTGTTTTTAACTCAACCAGCTTTATGATATGCTTTTTTACCTTACACTTGCTCTTTTGAGCGATCATTTTTTGTTAGTGCCGGAGCCACGAATCAGACAGTAATCACTACAACCGTTGAGCCTTTCTAGTAACAATAGCACTTTTCTCTTCTATGGACGAGTACGACATCTTGCTTGGCGGACCTCCTGTAACACACTGATGCTTTACCGGAAGCTTTACCTAAGGCATTTGACCGGTAAACCACTGACCGCACCTAATTCAATGCGCGTCTCGGCTGCTACGCTAAATGCAGGCGAAACTGTTGCGAGTAACCCGACGATTACTTGGCTTTTTTGCCGCTAAGTTGGCATATCGGGAGGGTGCAATACCTGCTTTCTTCTGATCAATAGTGTATTTTTTCTGTACATATTTTTTTAAATTTTACTTTAGTTTTAAAATCATGTGAATCATTGTTAAAATTCTGAGATGTCCAAAGTTATTTGAAGATCTTCAGTTTGACATTTCTCAAGTTTGAAATTATACTCCCTGTGAATTTTGATTGTTTGTCATAAAGCTTTCGATGATCAGTGAGTTTGCGTTTCCTCATACACGAGGGTGTTCCACAACTATGAAGTTGACGTATTGCTTCATTACCATTTCAAGTTATCGCAAGCTAATACCGATTATTTCACGGTATTATGATTAGTAGTGTTAATAAGCAATAGTGGGTTCATGGTTAGAATTGAAGCGCGTACGATATTTCTGTTCTTTCGGTGTCGTAATGATGCACCCCTTCGTTTCAGTGCCATCAGATATGTAGACAATCTTGGATGTGTAGCATTGTGCTCAATTGGATCACAGCACATGACTGGTCTTGGCTAGGTGTCCCAGCCCTCTTAGCTGTCGTAGTATCCTAGTTACTTGCTTTGCCGCACATTAATGGCATAAATGGTATAATTCGCTATATAAATGATTTCTGATGTTTTCTTCTAAGGTAAACCGTGGCTCCTATAAGATGGCATATGAAACGTTGTAGGGTCGAAAAATTAGGGAGTTACAAGGGCTCCAAAACAGGCTTGGCCGACGTGCACACCCAGAAGTGGCCGTGTTATGACGGCCTTGTTAAAGCTGCCTTTTTCACAATGCCATTCACAATGAAGAGTTAGGTCGCCGACGAATAGTTCGTTTATGTGGGAGACACCCAAATGGTCACAGACTACGACTCATTTATACAGACTTCCCAATCATACGTCTCCTTTCTTCAAGGAAGCAACTTTTCATGCTATGACTATGCTGACAGCACTATGAATGCCCCAATGGAAGACAACCTTTGCCATTTTAGGCTAGACGTTGCCGTCGCTCCCACATAAACGAACTAATCGGTAATCCCCTCTAATATGTCTCATGCAGTTTCCGAAGAAAAGTCATTTAAATTAATTAATCAATTTATTTATTTAGTTTCTCTATATAACAATATTATTACTAGTGAATGAAATTGACAAGTTGAGAACAAAGTAAAAACATAACATGCACAGCTACAACGCAGAGTGGATCTACTGGTGCATGGATTGCTTTGAATGTGAATGAAAGCTCGATACTGACACTTTGTCAATTGATACTGTAATGAGGTAGAAATCTTCTGATGAATCAGAAGTAGGGCATGTTGTCAAATTAAGGCCATGGGTCAAAAGCCTAGGAAATATCTCATGAATTACACCTAAAAATCAGGTTCTGAAAATTATTACAATGTCTGATTTCCTAGACGCAATTTTGGAATTTTACCATTATCGATGGTGAATTCAGAAAAGATTAAACAGTTGACCAGCGATGATCGAACCGCAACAAAAGGCTTTCGATGATAGAAGTATGAACAAGGTAGTAAGGCAGACAACAATGCAGAAGCAGAAAACTAGAGGCGGGTCTGACTACGGAATACAGATTACTTATTATATTCCCAGCAAAATAACTCTGCCATCTACAACCCGGAATTTCTTTGTCATCTCTTCGTAGTTACAACGATTCGACTCTACATTCCAATGCAACGAATCTTTGTGATTTCCCTGAAAAATTTAGTGATCATAGTAGAAAGCTTTTCTCTGATGTTCAAAAAAACAATGGCTATCAGAGGGTCAAAATCAAAAATGAAAGATAAGTCTTAATCAGTGCCGTTTGTGGGATGCGCCCTTGCATTCGACTTCCATTCGGAATCGTAGCAGCGTCTTGAATTCAGATGTGGCCTATTCAAAGACCTGCAGTGGTCATCTAGTGTTCAAGTCAGGGCTTCTATCCTTATAAATAGCCCTGGTACCAATTTACCTAACCCGAAGTTATGGAAATCTTGGTTGGCCCAGGCAGATGTCGACCCGAGATTTGAACCCGTGACCGTGCGTATGTGACAGTGCGCCACTTCCACTTCATCACCTCTGCCCATTAAAGGTTCGAAATAGGCCAATTGTCATTCTGTGACCGCCCGAGTCAGAAATCAGTTGAAAATTACGATCTGTGTGCGCTCAAGAATAATTTCCATTACTGTTTCACAGCCAGGAGCATTCTAATGAAGCAAGTAACCTATTTGTGGATAGGGAAGATTACATATTAGCGATTTAGCCCCAATTTTGGCTTTTCATAATTTCGAAATCTCTGATTCTACTGAATTTAACATTCATTTAAAGTTACCTGTAAAGATACCACTACTCCAAATCGTGGTTTTTCAGACCTAAGCTCTTCCTGAGATCAGTTCAATTCGAAAAACCCGTACTGTTGTTGGCAAAACACAGATAACCGGTTTACTTATTTCTGTCATCATCAACAACGCAATTTTATGAGGTTGATACTAATGTAGTACATCAAAGTAAATCAAATCAAAGCAATTAAGGCAATTCATCACCTGAAAGCATTTTGTTATGATGGCTTTCATTCCACAGCTACTATTGCATACAGTCGTGTCATACTTAACAGGTTACTTGTTTACAGCACTTTGGTTGCTTTCATAGTCCGCCGGCTGGCCCGCGAGCGCGCGAGCGAGCGCGCCGGCCGTGGGCGGCGCTTGATCCTTACAGCTGAATCTTGGCCGAAGACGTCGGCCGAGTAGTTCCACGGCCGGCACGCTCGCGGGCCTGGCAGTAGACTATGAAAACAGCTTTGAGCGATCATATCTATCAGGTAGTGCGGAGAGGGCGTGCCGAAAATTTCATAGCAGTACGAATTTTCCCGGGACTACGTGAAAACCTTTGGAAATACCACAGAATAACACACTTACTTGCATGCGTATATCATTAGGGGAGATTTTATGATATTGCAATCGATCGACCAGATCGAGATCTTCGACCTTTTTTTTCAGGCTGAGACGTCAGAACGTGCTGCACGGAACCGCTAGGAAGGAGCCAAATGCACGACGCAGGTTTTCATGGGTTTTGGCAACGGAGTGACTTCAAACCAATAGTTCTTTACGAGTTTGAATACGACCACCCCGTTGCTGGAACTCGTTGAGTGTGAGAGACGATTCGGGCCGCCAAATAAGTGAAGTAGTGGTAGCGGTTGTGTCATACATACACATACGCGTGGGTAGTGTCCTTACCATAAACTTCACCGAAGCTTCAAAAAATATGAAGAAATTCGGTCTACCGGAAGGTTCTCTGTAGAGCCTTTCAGAAAAACCTAGTTTCCAAGAAACACTTGCTATCCATGAAAATTATGAAAATGAAAAGGCGCTATTTCGTAAATTATCCTACTATATGTAACTCGCCAGGTGTATATGTTGGTTTGTCTATGTATGTGTATGTGCGTGTGTGCGTGTGTGTATTTGACCGGAATTCCATAACTCTGCTTTTCGTGGACCTAGAGAATACAAATTCAATAGGAGTACAGGACAGGAACACCAACGGTAGGTGACAGGACTAGACTCCGCCCACAAGGGGCGGGGTCTGCGCAAATAACATCAAATTGGGCCTAGGGCGCTAAAATTTGGTAGGAGTAAGGAAGCAAGATGGACACAATGATGGTAGATGATAGGACTACGCGTGGCGTAAGCGAAAATATTAAATTTGGCCCATTTCCCTTCAGAAGGGAATATGCAACAAATAGCGAATTATCTGGGAGTACTAGTGAGATAGTAAGATAATAATGTCACTCACAAAGACACTCCCATGAGAGTGAAATACCACTTTGAGTCAGGACCACATGTTAATAGTGACGTCACGGTTTCGCCAGTGTTCGGACCCCCAATACCTTCGTTGAACTAAAACAGAAAGAATCAACTAGGTAATAGTGTTTAGGGTTTGGACATTGTACATAGTATTGCTAATGAATATGAGAGCCTACTTCCATGAAGGCAGTATTTCCTGCAGTCGCTTGGCATACGGCATTCATCTGTTGACAGCCATCAGCGTTGTTGGGAAGTACTCTGAATACAAAATTTTACCTAATAACTTCCTAAAGCTGTCAACAACATTCTGTCGATCTCGTGTTCCCCGTGGATAATTCCATTCAGTGTCAATCTAATGATCGAACACAGTGATGTCCCTAAGAACAGACTTCTCGGATGTTTCCTATTTCTCATGAGTAGAGATATCGTTCAACGAGAATCTCAGCTAAGTAGCCACCGTGAATGAGTTTCATTTGGGTGATTCAACGGCTAATGTGGTTACATAATGTAGTTTTTAGATTGGTGTTTATCGTTCAGTTGCTATTTATTTATTTGGCAATACGTTGTATAAGACAACGTTAGAAAGGCTAATCCGATATAACCCGATACAATATCAGCAACACTAGAGACCGAACTGATAATAGCAATTTGATTAGAAATGGAAACATGGTACCAGCTATGCCTTCTCTACGAGTTTTGTATGAGTTTTGCTACTGAGCGTTTGTAGGACGCCCGAGAGCGTGAATTAAGTGAAATGCAGGTATGAAAGACCTGCCCTGGCAGTGAAAAAAGTGCGCCTGGTGGTGGTTTCAGGTCTGGGAAAAGATAATTTGAGCTGGACGCCCCTGGTGATAAATGGAATAAGGCTGTAAAACTGAGAAATTTCAGCCGCGGATCTCTCGCTGAGCAGGTTATGAATCATACATAAGTCAAGGAAAGTTCCTCCAGGTTGAAAAAAGATTGGATTGGAAGAGAAGAAGGAAGGAGGAAGGATTTAATATTACTTTGGTTTGTTTACTATTATTTCCTACTACTCCATTTTATGTTACTTTGCGATAGGTAAAATGTCGTTGAATCCCCATCTGTAGGGGTTTGTGAGCAAGAACAAGTGATAGACTGCTATTGGGCGCAGTTTGGACGATGTGGTATTATGTGCCTCGGTGACCCAGAGATGTGGGTCTTTTTTTACCGGCTTCAAATGCAGTTCGATCGTACCTTCCTTATTCATCGGGCATTGTAGTTCTTGAACATCAGGAATGATCTTGGTACCACTTCCATTTCAGAGGTTCAAGTAATGAGTATTGTCAGGTTACCCGTAACAGTATTGCAGGTTAAAGTCAGTAGCTGCTTTCAAAGTCCGTGATCTGAGCTGCGAGCGCGTGAGCAAGCGACCGGGGGCGGCGCTTGCTTCTTGTTTACAATTGTATCTTGGTCGATGCCGTCGGACGAGTAGTCGCTCTCTCGCGGACCAGATCGCGTACTATGAAAGCAGCCAGTCGTCTGAAGTTATCCATCAACGAAGAAACGACGTAATCGTTCAAAGGCATAAACTCTATAGGAATTCATAGGAACTGTTTGGATCATTGCTAATTCCATACAGAGGAATGTGTTTCGAGATAATTGAATTTTTTAATTTTTTTTTNTTTTTTTTTGAATTTTTTTCTTCAATTGAATTTTATTCTACGCTCAATTCCATTAGAGTCAGGAACAGTGACAAGCAAATAAGGTACCAAGTATTTTCAAAGCATTTTTCAGGATTATGAATTGAACTAACTCTTTTATGGCATCCAGTTCCTCAGGCAACATCTTTGGCTGGAATATGACCGCTGCTTCATCACACATAGCGCACGCTTGAAATAATTTAACTCAACGACTACTAACAAGTGTATGTCATATTCTCAAATTTTCAGACGTAGAAAAAGGCACATGAAACGAGGAAACCCTGACTACAACTGAGCTTTCGCAAAACCTTTTCGACCATCAAATTATTCAGCCTAAATGGTCATGGACCCTTGAGGCAAGAGCAGGCCCTTCGAGTACCACTAGACAGTGTAGACCCTCCGTTATTGGAGTCGGCATTTTAGGGTGTATTCATTCTAAACTTCATCAGATACAGTCGAAGATCGTTTCAGTCTGGGCGTCTTTTTGAACTAACTCTCAGTTGAGCACTGCATCCCATAGAAGCTACAGTGTAGTGTCTTCCCAAAATTACCGTAGTATTTTCAGAACGAGACCAAATTTACCGTAATATTTTCAGAACGAGAGTGTGAGGCTAATTACGTTCATAGGAATTGAGCTTAGATACTCTCCAAACATAAGCGCAAAGCCTTTCAATAAAAATCTAGGGAGGCTCAGGTTTTTTCTTTTACTTAACTTCATTCAGGAACGACTCGAAACAGAAAGTTATTACCTGGCGGTTCTGGAAGGACGGAACATCCGACCTGCGTGATGGCACTGAAAAAAAAATAGTTCACCTACTGAACTCAGAATCTGAACAAACAGCCAATCATGGAATGAGAGGTTCTTCCGGTAGGACTGGAAGTCTCGACTAATTATAGGAATTTGGACAAAGCGTTCTGATGAAACAAACTGAACTATTGCATCAGTAAACCGAAGGCTATTTTGGGCAGATAAGACTCATGCAGCCAATAGTGAGCTGCCCAGCCAAAAGATTTGAGTGAATTTATCAACTTTAATTGAAATATTTCCGCAAATTTAGAACATACAGCGCATTCATGCCATCGTTGAAGTACCATTGCTGATCATCTCCACAAGTGAGGAGTGCCGTCACCGTGGGAGCTATATCTGGTCCTCCAATGGCACCGTTGAACTGAAAAGAATGAGTGGATTTGCTTTATTTTGCCATGAAATCATGCTGCCATAGGGCACGTATTCATTCCTAAGGAACCAATATGAGCGATCTCTCAATCATAAAAGGGAACGAAGTTATTACTGACAATGAGTAAATTGATGCTGTGGAAACCCATGTTCAAAGTTTGTAGTTGGAATTAACGCCCAGTAATGAAATGACAGCTGTTCTTGACGGCTCAAATGACGGCTCATTAAGGCCGAGAACTTCCTCTTCTTCAAGGTAAGAGGAGGTCGCTTGGTAGATTATCGATGTAGTTGTATTGAGGACACTTGGCCAAGAACAGCTGTCATTTCATTACTGGGCGTGTGCAAGACCTTAATATAA